ACGAAACGATTATAATGGTGTAACTTGTTAAAATAAAAATGTATTTTTTAAACATGTTTTAATTTATATACGATTATGTATGTTAATTTGATAAAGGTTTAAAATGAAACATTTAAAAGTAAAGGACGTAAAGTAAATTAATTAATTAATTATAGGGGTATAAAGTGTAAATTTAAAATTATAATTTTAAAACAAATCGGTTGTGAGAGGGTGAGTGTATGTGAGGGGGTGAGTGTATGTGAGGAGAGGAGGGGGTGAAAAAGTGAAAAAGTGAGTATAAAGAGTATTTTGGTCATTTAGTATTTTAAGACTTTTAAGACTTTTGCTAAATTTGCTTAATAAGATAGTATAGATGATCACATCAGGACTTCATGCCTATCATGACTTGCACCTCATTATTCCATCCTATATCTTGTAGGTATTTCACCAATCTAAAGAAAGATAAAGTATTGTTATATGTGAACAAAATAGTTGAGACGAAGCAAAACGACCAATAAGGTTTCATTTGTCCAATGGCTGGCACTTTGCCAGCATAGCTTCCCTAACCCAACAAGGACCCAATTAAAATCACCAAGTATCTCCAACGTCTATACAAACATCAGTTGCAATTCTCTATTCCAGCACAACTAGTAAGGTTGATGAGTAGGACTTGAATTAATCAGAGTCCCAACTGCGATTCAAATTTAGGACTGTGATAACTGCTTAGCAAATGACAAGTGTTCCAAAGTTCAATTCTTGTGGACGAGAAGGCATTGGGGGATGCACTACAGAGAAGCTTGTGAGGGGCGGGGCACCAAGTAAGTGGTATGGATATAAGAGGTGCCCTGAGAGCTCTGAATATGATTCAACACTATACCTCTAACTGATTCAACCAACTCTTAACCTTTCAAACAGTGGAACTTTTCTAACAACTTGTCCTTCTAGTGATTAAGAGGATCAAGCCATTAAGTCACCATACATATTCCTAAGCTTATCCTGTTTTTACTTGTAACATAATTCCCGAAAATAGTCTTAAGCTTAAGTGGAAGAAGAAGATTTTGTTATTTCACCTCCTTTCTCTCTCCCGGGGGCATGGTTATAGATTTTTCTTGAAGTTTTAGCCTTAACTCATCTCGACTTTTCAAAAAAAATAAAAGATAAAAAAAATTACACATCTTGTACCGGCCATATTCATGGTCTATCATTTCAGGAAGCACACCCATCCGCACCCACAAAATATAGGATCCACGAAACTCCAGTAGGGATAAAATAAAAGCACCCTACTCCCACAACACTACCATGACTTGCACAGCTAATATTTACCTATAAATATAGACCAGCACCAACCCCTTTATCATTGCAACCAAACAAATACGGCAACTCTTGTCTCTACCATGTAAAATAGGCAATGAAACAAATTGGATACAAATGTTTCTCATCTCAAACGGTCAAACCAAAAGATATTTAAAGTTCTTTCCCGTGATACTACAGAAAAAATAACATGTTGGTATATAGTACAATTCGCAGTTGTATCCTTTAAACAGGCTTTCATGGTAACATTCTAAAACAGTTATCAGGTGGTTACCCTGTTGTTTTTGTGCTTTGGTGTGCACTCAGTGTATCGCAGTTGTTAGATAATCTTTCTTGGCTATAAACATGTTGGCTGCTGAAAATGCACAATACAATGCATCATATAGGAGAACCTTATTATGTGCAATTCTAAATGTAATTTAGCTTCAGAAACATAGATACATACCTTAAGTCTCCTAACACTCTCATCCAATGCTTTCTTAGAAAGCGCATCCTGTTGGGATATGGACATAGTATCTGATCCTAATGACCATCCAAGCGATCCCCCAATAGTTGGACCGCCATTTATTGAGGGATATGTAGAAACAGGAACAGTTGGATACACAACTTTTTGCTGAACATTTTGAACCGTGGTTGGGACATTGCTACTACTCGCACCTCTAACTACAACCCCTTCATCCATCCTTTTACCCAAACCTTTTCTGAACTGCTCCTCTTCCCACATCTTATCCTCCTCGTCTTCTTCATCCTCAACACCATCGTCACTGGCAATAACTTCGCTTTCCTTTCTGACTGTAGTCTTGCTCACATCAACAAGAACATCCTCAAAAACACCCTTTTTCCCCTGACTTCTCTCTCCAATCAAAGCAATTCTTCCTTGAAATTCAGGCTCCTCATCACTCAAACCCTCAGCTTCACCATGATTACTCCCTCCATCCAATGATATGTAATCAGGGGCAGCAGCTCGTGATTGTCGCAATCTCTCCCTCTTCGCCCTAATCGCATCTATCATGGCTTGGTCTGGTATTACGCCCCCATCTAAGTTTCCCCCTTTCCCCACTTTAACACCTAATCCTATCGAACCCAATCGGTTCATAGTTTCATCCCTACCTGATTCTTCATCCTCTTCTTTTGTATTTCTTGATGAATCGTCAATGACCGGCTTTACCATACCTTTTAACACGATAATCGGTTCGGATGGCGGTGGACGAGGGCGAGAGGTGCTGCTACCTAGGGTTTTGGTGTTCTTTTGTAATTCAAGAAGGGCTTCTTTAGTGTAAACACCAGCTTGTGGCTGTACGTTTGACGGAAGAGAAGACGCTGATGAGGTTCGCTCTTTCGCCGAATTTCTGTCCTTCGCAGAAATTAATTTGTGAGACGACAACGACGACAGAGATGATGGTTTCGATAGACGGGAAGAGCTAGGTTGTTTGTTAGGATTGGAAGGGCGGTTTCGAGGGACAGGAGTAGTGGTATCGGTGGATTCGTCATCGGCGAAGCTAAGAAGGCTAGGTTTTTTAGGTTTTAGAGTGGTTGTGGCGGGTTTTGATTGGTACTTTTTGGTGGTAGCAGGGGTGGCCATTTTTTCTTTTTCTTCATCGTCATTATCGTCCTCCTCTGCTCGACGACGGAAGTTTCTCACTCTGCTGCTCATGGCGGCTGCCGCAGTGGTGGCTGTGGGACGTCGGACCGCTTGTTGGAATAACGTATTCGGAGAATACCTGCCTGAAAGATCCCAAAGTGCGAACCGGTTTCCTCACTCGTCCATCTTTAACTCGGGTTTTCTTTGGGCCTTTTCCTTCTAAAGCCCATTACCAGAAGTTATTACCCTTCGGAATTGGGATCCAATCCATCCTGATTCCCGTGTATTTTGGCTCATTTATGGACCTAGGGTTGATACTTTTTGTTTTTTATTGTACAATTAACGTGTATCATTATGTTTGGTTCGAACAAGTAACATTTTAATAGTTGAGCTTGACTCGGCTCAAGAATTTTGAACGAGTCGAGTTGAAAATTAGTTTTATGAAGCCCGAATCTTTAAGATAAACGAGTTCTATTTTGTATTCAAGACTGACTTGAGCTCGAGTAGCTCTTTAAAAACTCGAATTGTCCCCATCCTCCCTCTCTCGCTCCCTTATCTCGTTGCTAATTGCGATAAGGCAATACGAATAGTGATAAGGCAATACCATCCGTTTTGATTAGGAAAGGATAGCATGTATAGTTGGAGGATATCTTGTAATCATCCAATAGTTGCTACTCACTGTCACAACCTAATTCTTTCCCCTATATAGATAATGAATATACAAAGGAGATCAAGGCTTCCCTCCTATTAGTTGCTACTCACTGTCACAACCTAATTCTTTCCCCTATCTTCGCCGATTGAAATCCCTTCTCCATTTCATTATGCTTCTCTTTTGGCGTGAACCATTTCATGTGCCCATGATTTTATTCCAGACGTACACAACTATTGTGGCGATTGAGTTTATCCATGCCGATTTCTTGCAGTCACAATTTGTTGGGATTAGTCTAGGCATAGCCTGATACACCCTTAAAAAAACTTCATCCACCATGACCCTCTTCTTCTTCCATCCTCTGCTCCACTGTCGTTCCTTCCCCGATCACCCTCTTTGCAAAAACAATATAATCTCGTTTATCCTTTTCTCCTTAGATTGTGTATTTACTGAAGCGGATGTATGTCAAAGATGTGAGGAAAGGCAAGGGAAGAAGATGGATATCATGATAAGATGACTAGTGGGAGTTGGAGAACGGGAAAGAGCTTAATTTATTATGTAGTCCAAACTTGTATAATAAAATTACAACAAAATGGTAAAGCGACATAATGTCTTCACGTAAAGGGCACTTAACGGAGGTGTAGCAACAAAGTGAGCAGGAGTGCTCTGGTCCTTAACAAAGTTGATTCTATAAAATGACCACCACTGTAATTGGTTCATTGCATCATTTTATAATAGACACAGAAACATATCACCTAAATCAAACTTGAATTCAAATAGATACGGTGGGTTGTGGATAATCAATTTATCATCATACATAAAATCATTGACCAAATAAAAGGATAAATGTAGTTATGTTTAATAAATATCTTTATTGACTATTAGAAGGATGATATGTGGTTGCAAAAAATGTGCCCGAGAGCATACATAGTAGGAATTCCGTGTAAACGTTGTTTTTATAAGACTTAGGACCAATATAAAGTTTGATGCTTAGGTTGAACAGTTTTTTTTAAAGATCCTGGAACTTATAATTGAGGAGACAAAATTTCACATTGTAATCACCGACCCTGTTTCATAATTTACTTTTTGTTTCTTCTTCTTATAACTATTTTCATACATTTTTTAACCCCGTTAATGAAACCTCCGTCTTATCCATTTTCTTTCCCAATGTTTTCATTAATAATTTTTGATTTATTCTTTGGTTTGTCTTCGTCGTCTATATCTCTGATAGGTTTTATGGGAAAGTGGGTTTGAAATGGAGTATTGGATCAGAGAAGGAGATGACGAACCCGTCACTATCAACATTTTTTCACAAACAAATAAAAAGATTTCAACTTGTATTTCGAAAAAGCAATAATTAAAGAAACAGTGTTTGAAACCATTTGCATGTTTAATAAAAACGAAATAGTTGTTTTAAACATCGAAGCGTCGAAAGGTTTTCATAGGTTTGTAAGATAAATTTAACGTCAAAACCACGATAATAATTTTTCGGTTCGATTTCCAGATCCTACTAAACCAACCTTCTATACTCTATTTTTGTATTAAATACAAATTAAAAGAAGATCGAGACTAATCGGTTTAGAATATATACAAAGATTCCACTAAGTGCTCTATATTTTCTTTAATCAAACGAATTAGTTTCAGGCTATCAATGTATTTTGTACTGTATTGTCTCGATGACTTTAGCCCAGAGGTTAAGAAGTTGGGTATTTATTGCAGGATGAGTGAGAGGTACGATGTTCGACTTTTCACAAACCACTTACCATATCATGAAACTGGTACGATAGTGGCGTTTGGGAAGGTGGTATCAAAGCCCATTTCGCAACAAAATAATTTATTGTATTTGATGAACCAACTCACATGTTTCAATACCAGATTCTCGAGCCCTAACGCTTTTGCTTGTAAGTTCCTACTTACCAACTTTTTGTGGCATAAACAAAATTTTGGGCCCGACAAGGAAAAAAAACTACCACCTTTTAGGAGGGAATGCAATTTGATTGCCGTAATTATTGTACATCGAAGTTTCATTGTCTTCGGGAAGACTTTAGGGGGACCAATGTAACTATTTAAAGCTTAAACTTTGTATGAGAAGCCGAAGGGAAGCACCCCATGAGTTTAATCCCTTTTTGCAAAATGACCATGAAAAATGGGCCATCATGACTTGCAAAAACCAGTCTCTAGATCGGGCCTAATTTGACCTAAATCCGATATTTTCTTTTTACAATCGGTTCCGGTCCCGACTCCCGAGAAAAAACATCCTAGCCGTTCTTCATGTACAAAACCGATCCCCGTCCTGTGCTGGGCCCAAATCAGTTCCAAATTTTTTTTCCCCAAAAATCAATTTTCAACATATAAAAAATCTTGTTTGAATATTTTCATTTTTTTGGACAACATTTTATTGAAATACACTTTAAATGGGTCATTCAAAAACATTTTAAATCTTTTTTTTTTAAATTACTCAAAAAGTTTATACATGTTTTTATAATTACGATTTTGAAATTTAGTAATTGAACACTTAGAAAAACTTCAAAATCATAGGTCTCGTTTGGTTTGGAGGAATTGAATGGATTTGGGGGGATTTGGATTTCAAATTCATTTCAATCCCATGTTTGGTTTGTTGAATTGTCTGGCTTTGAAATCATAGGATTTAATTGAAATCCTTAGGGGGTGCTTGGGATTTTCATGACATTTCATAGGATTGTATGATGAAGGTTCAAAAAATGTTAAAAACATTTGTTTTGTAATAATCGATTAATAAAAACGTAATTTAATTATTTTTATAATTTTATTTATAAATAATGAAATCTAATTCCATTCCAAATTCTACAAACCAAACACACCAATAATTTCAAATTCATTCCAAATCCAAATCCTTCCATGAAATCCAAATTCATCAATGAAATCCAAATCACTCAAAAACAATCATGCAAACTAAACGGACCCTTATAGAAATCTTCAAAAACTTATATATAATTTATAAAAACTTCATTTAAAAAAATGGACCTATGTAACTGGTGCCGATCCCAGAACCGATCTCAAGCTGGATCAGACCTTGATTTTATGTAAAAATCGTAATCAATCTCAGACGGATACGTACCCCTTTTGACCATCTCTATATCTGCATATGATCTCCCCATTCTCATTGTTAGGTCCAACTTCACATAAAGGCATTGTTATTAAACTTTAACGGGTTCCATATATACCAGTTCATAACCATCGTCCAAAATTGCTTTTCTAAACTGGTCCTAGTGAGCCTTCATGTTTGCAAACAACTCCAAATTTCTTGGTTTCAGCTTTGAATAATTAAAGATTTAATTATTTTAATTGATTTTAACGTTACGTATACACATAAAGATTCTATCACGCTTCCCCTATCAATTAACCATTGAATCTTGCATAAATATTTGCAATTTCTTGTCGAAATGTGTCGATTTCGGATTGAGCACGACCTCTTACTTCAGCATCAACTGAAGTCAAGAAGTTTACTCTCATCAATATCTTCCTGTCGATCGAGTTGATCTGCAATTTTTCAGCAAATAAAAACACGATTTCGTTAACCGTGAAAAATCAGTATATAAATTCATTGATGCATATACATTAATAAATTGCAGTGAGTATAAGCATCGTGTATACATACTTGCATGCATAAATATACTTATTGATAGAATATATATTTTAGGAGTGTATATATATGCATCAATAGATATACTGGTTCTCACGTTTTCAAAATATTTTTTGTTCTCATTTGAACCCTTCCCTATATATCAATTAATTGCATAAACCATGACCATGACGATATTTAGAATGATCGTACCTTTCTGTATGGCCATCGCGATAGTCCATGCTTACGACAAATTTTCTTGATTACAGTTGGGCAAACTTGTATTTTCTTCGCGGCTACTTCTATGGGAATATGGAAGAAGCCGACGAGATCTTTGATCGTAAGTTTCCCCGTCCTTTCCCTCTGCTCAAAATGTTAAGAAAATCGAATAAATGCGATTAAATGGATAATGGTGAATTTGGAGGGAAAAGATTGATTTTAATTAAGATGATCAAGAACCTGCGTTGAAAAGGTGGTCTTGTAACTAGGTCTAGCTCTATCGATCTCCACATCTGACTGGTTCATTTGATGATCACCTGTTGATAAGAAATGTGTTCAGTCATAAACGAAAAAAATGAAATGGTTCAATTATGTGTTTGATTAATAATTTAACAAGCAAATTCGTGGGAAAATGGGGTAAGTTAATTGGATTTAAGGTTTATCGAGACATAAACGTTCATGATCAGAAGTCCTTCAGAGCTAATCCCGCTAGAAATAAACAAATGCATGCTTATTTTGGGCCATGCAAACCATGTCCGACTTTTGATCAAACTAGTTTGTCAGATAGTTGGACATGATAATGTTTAAGTAAATTGTGAATGAGTTTTTAGGATGTTTATATAATCGTCACATGACCTAGCTAGCTATTGGAGTACTTAATA